AAATACTTCTGCGAAACTCACTGAGTGTAAATCGTTAAAGGAGTATTATTGTTAGCTTACGTAACGCTTGACGTACGTCAAAAAGGGGTAGTCAATGTACATTGAAAAAATAATAGACCAACAAGATTGTACGCAGGCGTCATGTGTAAGGTGATATTTTATGGTGCAAACTGCCTTTATTTTTTAAGATGTAGTGGGGTGATATTTTTCGATGCAGTCTTTGTGTTTCATCCCCTAGCTGTAAACACACAGATCGGACTATGAAAAGTCGACACCCGCGCCTTTGTAGAGTTAATTAAGCTAAGAATGGCGAAATTATGGTCCACTTCGATGCTGAGAAGGAACGCGACGATGAAACAACAACTGGTCGGGGCAGGGTGTTTCGAGCTGTTTTTTGCACTGCAATTTGAAACTACAGAATTTCAGCGCAGACCGTTATGGAGCAGAAAATGTTGCGAACGTGCCATTTGGTGAACTAATGACACCCATAGCGGCATCACTGCATGAAGAACAGGACGTCCAGCTCAGGTTAATTTTCTTTTTTTGAAATTTCGGGCGATCCCTCTACGATTCGTTCATTCGTTTCGATAGTAAATTGGTACTGCGCATGTCAGGGGAGACAAATCCGCCAATTAGCTTGCTTCGGATTAACTTTTGAAAAAAGGAGCCATCGACATCCTTGCCAGCGATTAATTGCTCTTGGCAGATGCTACCGCTCAAATATCTTCCGAGGGCTACTGGTCCTCATAGTGAATGGATATGGCATCCGACTGAGCAACCGCAGAAGCTAGAAAGCTGAAATTTCATGAGGATGTTCTTGGCTCACGCGCCAACCAGACAAACAAATATCAACGTTTACGTTTGTTTGTGGCTCAAAACAGACGTCTAAAAAAAATTTGAGGGGAGAGGGCGGTGTAACTTTTGATTTTAAGGTAGTATTATCAGTCCCGCGCATGAGGGCGCCATCATCTTTTTCTATGTATTTTTGGGATTTTGCTGTTTTTTGTGGGTGTTAACATGTTGGCTAGTGTACAATTTCTAGGTGCGGATTTTAGAAATTTTTCAATTTATATTTTTTGTGCGTCATACCAAAAATCAGAACCCTTCCCACAGCATCCTGTATTTTTTTTTCTTTTTTTGAGAGATGGGGTATTTGAAAATAATCCAAATGGCAGTATGTACTAGTAGCATTTATCTGATGTCAAGGCTGCCTATAGTTTTCTCTTATAGTGATCTGTTAGAAGCAAACTGTTGACGGATTTAATCTCTAGCATATGCTAATAGCAGTTTACCATCGAAACGAATGAACAGATCATGGAGTGAGACTGATTGTTTACAAAAATTAAAAATTTTCGCAAAATCGGTGAAAACATAAATGTGGTTAATATTCAGAATTTTTATGAGCCTTTTGTGTTTTCCGCTTAAAAGTTATTACTCAATGTATGGGGTTTGAGTGGGTAAATATGAGTTCGATAAGACTATGAATTGTCATATGAGCGTCGGCATTTCAGTTAGTTCTTTATGAGTTCCTATTATACTCTGGGAATTTGTTCTTATTTTTAGTCAAAACTATCCAATTTCCTTGTTGGGCAATAGAAAATAGAACTTTTTTTGAGAATTCGGTGATGATCATAGTAC